ATGAAGTTTACATCAGTCTCCGTACGTCCCCTCTTATTTCTGCAATAATGAGCTCCGTCCCTTCTTGTTTGACCTTGTGTATTTAAAATATGGACTCATGGAAAAGGAGTACTAGTTTTAAATTACCCACTAGATGGAGCCACAGACGTCACTGAATAATTGCTTTATTTCTATTTCCTCATTTACTAATAAAATGCTTTATAGACTTCATGGAGTTTAAATATTGTCCCATTATTTTTATTAATAGAACCCACTAAGTGTTTCTCTTTGGCTTATACTATGTTGTACTACTACAACTGCAGTATATGCAGTATATTTACCCTTGAAATGCAATCTGTGCTGTATTTATGACACTAGTCTCTCTCATCTATGCTAATTTCTAGGTGATTCCAGTAAATCAAGCCGGAGCGCCCGTTGGAGAAATCCCCTTCACTCGAACTGGCCTGCTTGGATTCGTGGGACCGGTAGGTCGCTCATACACAATTACAGTAGTTCCAGTACTCTGCAATTTGGATGTCTGTGCTGAGTTAAATATGTCTGCTCCACAGGGGAGTCTGGTATTTGTTGTGGGAAAGATTGAGGGCCTCCTGATGGTGAGCGGGCGACGGCACAACGCAGACGACCTGGTGGCCACGGCGCTAGCAGTGGAGCCCGTCAAAACAGTTTACAGGGGGAGGTGAGACACTGACAGGCCGCTGAGAGCACAGTGAGGTTCCACTGTGCTCTCAGCGTGTGTGTTCATGCATTACATTACTTCATAATGCACACTGAGTAAGAATGTTCTAGCGACGCACACATGTGAGCAGGGATAATTTAGTGATATTTAATTGGTAATTAGTAAAAATCCCTTCAGCATCCTGCAGCTTCTGCTGCTTTCTTTGTCTACTGTGTGTTTGCACTCACTCCTCTGTTGGCATCTGTGCAGGATCGCAGTGTTTTCTGTGACGGTGTTTTATGATGAGAGGATAGTGATTGTGGCAGAGCAGAGGCCCGATGCCAGTGAAGAAGACAGCTTCCAGTGGATGAGTCGAGTGCTGCAGGTCAATCACACATCTGCTCATATCATCTTGATTATTAATATTATGTTATACTGTATTAACTTGACGCATATTCCATCTTTAGGCCATTGACAGTATCCACCAGGTTGGCCTGTACTGTCTCGCGCTCGTCCCAGCCAACACCCTCCCAAAGACGCCTCTGGGAGGCATCCACATCTGTGAAACCAAGCAGAACTTTTTGGAGGGAAACCTTCACCCCTGTAATATCCTCATGTGCCCACACACCTGTGTTACAAACCTGCCCAAGCCCCGGCAGAAACAGCCAGGTGGGTTGTCTTAGACATTATGGAATCATGCTTGTATACAATATAAAGCCGCAGCATGAAGAGGGAGCTAGAAATAATGAGGATGTGCCATCAGCTGGCAGTTGAAAGTTTGTCGTTGTTTCTGATCTCCTCAGTGGACGTTGGTCCAGCTTCTATGCTGGTTGGCAACTTGGTGGCAGGGAAACGGATCGCCCAGGCTATAGGGAGAGAGCTGGGCGTGGTGGAGGACCAGGATCTCATTCGAAAGGTACTGCCACACAGACCAAACTCCACTGATTTCATATATATGAGGTCTAGTAGTGGATTTAGCAGAGTGCAACACAGTTTTCCAGCAGTTTAGTTTGTAGGAATTTGAATTGCCTTAATATCTAAAGGAGTCAGTGTCTATGATGTGTACTCCTGCACAGTGAGACCATTAATAAAAGATTTGCACGCTATAGCAAAACTGCAATGGTTGCTTTATAGATGGCAGAAGATTTATGAGCA